AAGTATGACTTGTGTCTAGGAGCCTCCCCTGATGACAAATGATCCGTGGGAGACAGCACACGTGCCATAAGTCAGGCCCCATTCACACTTCAGCGGAGCGTCTTTGGCTGGTTTTTTTAGTGCTTGTACAGGTGTTTTTGAGTGCATTTCAAGCCTGGGTGTTTTTCTTTTTCTTTACATTTTTAGCCAACAAAAGAGCAAGTCAACACCCAAAATATGTGCATTTATTCAGGTGCACCCATTTAAGTCTATTAGGGTCAAAACATGTGACTGTGCTCCAGAAGACGCTCATGAACAATTTCAGCCTACAAGCTTCGAGTGATATTATGTTCAGGTGTGAATGGGCATCACTGAATAGGATTGAAATCTTAGTGTCAACCATGGGAGCTCTTCTGGTAAAGCTTCCAATCAGTCACCTGTGAATGAGGCCTTAAAGGAGAAGTTTACTTTTTACAAAAAAATAATAAATGCACATTATTTTGCAGGTAAAAAAAATGTGCATTTTTTTCATATTTTTTTTAATATTACAGAAAAGGCATTGCACCCTTCCTAGATCCTGAAGACACTCAGTAAGCTGTCTGCCCATGCCTTGTACTGGTAGGCAGGAAGATCAATGGACTACAAGAGCGCACACCAGCGACAGAACTACACGCCGTCAGCCACAATGGCCGATAGTACTTGTAGTTGAGTTGCCACCTCATCCCTTTAAAATCAAACACATATTAATTACACAGGTTCTGGGGCTAATTTATTGCAGATAAGGCACTGAGTTTAATTACCATCTTAAGCAGCCACAGAAGCTGCATAATTAATATGTGTTTGATTTTAAAGGGATAAGGTGGCAACCCTACTTGTAGGCATTATTTCATAGGAAACTGAATGAATGACGCAACCATGTGGGCGGAGCCCCATATTGCCGCATTTTGTTTGAATTGTGACAGCGTATGTTGGGAGAAGATCCTCCCCGACTGCTGTCACAGGGGGGGGGAGGGGAGGCAGGAGCTGGAAAATGTTACATGTTCCACCCTAAATATGAATGGAACTTGTAACATGTTCCAGAAGGTGAACTTGCCCTTTAAAGTGTATTTCCACTTTTGCAAAACCCCCATTATATATTTATGTGTTACCATTCACACAGCTTGCCTAAAAAATAATTTAAAAAAATATTCTTTACCTTTCTAGTGGTTTCTTAGGAGTCAATTAATATACAAAACTTTATAGGCAGCTTGTTTTGTCCATAACAACTTGCAGTGTGCTTATTAGGGACAGATTGGACTAAAAGTGCATTAGCGTACAATGTGCCACTCAAGCCTTGAGATCTTTAACCCTTTAGTACGACATATAATGTGCAAGTCTACAGTAGTTTACAACTGTTATTGAGATCTGGCAGCACAGTACAGATGGCTATTTATGGTGAACATAACTTCCAAGTCCCCTCCTTAACATTGCATAGAAGCTGAAAGCTAAGTAGGATTTTTTGGGGATTGGGAGTTTTCAGAATAAAAAGGCAAGTAAAAAGGTAAGAAGCATTTTTAAAATATTTGTTTAACGTTATGCTATGTGAATGGGAACATGTAAGAAATATAAAAGTAGGTGTGATCTTAATCTGGCTGCCAAAGCTGGAAACACACCTTAATAGTGGAGAAAAAAAAAAAGAGCCGTTGTCACAACAGTACACAATATTAGGCTATAATATAGGTGTTCCATGCGGAAGATGGTTCATTCAAAACCTGCAAACCTTCCTAAATGAAGAAATAATTGATGACTTCACCTTGTTTGTCACAGAAGAACGTGCAAAACATAGAAAATGTCAAACAGTTCAATCAATTCCGAGCTTGCATGGGAGGTGAGCGTGGCAGGCTATGACTCAGGACACATCAGTGGTGTTGGGTGTTTTAAACAGCATTTTATGAGAAGATTCTCCCAGAGTGCCAATCCTTATTAGTTTCTTGCTTCCATTGATTTGAAACTCCTGGTTGGACAGCCTGTACATGAAGGCTTCTTATATTCTGGCAGGTGAGCTGTCATTGTGTCAGTCCTACATAGCCAGAAATGGGGACTCAAGCTGGCCATAAATGGATTACATTTTGGCTAGTTCGGCAGGAAATATGAGTCCCAGATAGCCGTGCAAGCACCACCTGGCGCACCAAAAGTCAATTTAAAATGTGCGAACACTTAGTAGCCAACTGGTGAGCATAGAAAGCGTCCAAATACTTGGTCTTTAATTGGTGAGCGCACGTAGCGCATGAAGTGTCCGAACACATAGATGGAGGGAGTGGGGGCCAAACTCCTGACCTTTGCAGCCATGCTTCCTAACCTTAGCCCTACCTTAACCCTACCCTGGCCAGAACTCTAATCCAAAAAAGTAATCTTTCAGCGGCATTGCTGTATTCAGTCAGCCGCAAGTACATACAATAGCCAGCAGTGGAGATCCCTCCATCAATGTTGTTAGCATGGATGGGGAGATCGATTGAAGAACATTGAGCATGGTTAACTTTAGGCTACAGCCATACAGGAGGAGTTGGTGGCTTATATTTCAACTGGGGTGCCGCAGCACCCTGGGGTGTTGTTTAGGTTCCCCCAAGGTGCCGCATACACAGAATGAAGTTTTCCCTGACTTAGTATCATGTATTGCCATGGTGCAGATGGGCCGAACGCCGGCACAGGAACAACCAATGAAGCTCTAGGGCCAGTAGGCACGCCATCATTCATTGCGATGGTGCTGGCAGCTGACCCGCCCACAACATGGCAATGCATGTAACAGATCAAGGGCAGGTGACATGCAGGGCTACCCCCAGCATTCAGGAAAGGTTGGAAGGGGGCTTCCCCGTCTATACCTGCTATGTCTCCCACCTTCTGTCATGCTGCTAAGGTAGTAAGTAGGGCACTGATGGGAAAAGGGGACACGCCCCCTCCCATTCCCCTGGTCAGACACGCCTCCTTTCTGTTCCCCTGGTCAGACACGCCCCCTCTCGTTCCCCTGGTCAGACACGCCTCCCTTTGCAAGAACACAGTCTGTGTGTGAAGATACTTGTGATGGCGGATCTTAATCAGCTAGGCCAGCACAGAGCACTGGTGCGTGAGAGCAGGAAGTATATTTCCACTAAGAGAAAAACATATTTCAAGACATTTACAAGTAAAAAACTACAACATACAGTGATAAATGACTAAAGCTGTGAGATGTCAATTTGGCTTTTCCAAGAGGAACTAAATCAGAACAGATCTGATGAAGCCAAACTAATCACCAAAGAATAGATCATTTATTTCCTTGGGTGCTTTACAAGAGGTGTAGGCAATGTACATTATATTATCAAGCTCCCATATTTCCATTTTTAGCTCAGCTTACAAAGCATCGTGCACTTTTCGAAAAATGTAATTAAAGTTTAAAACCCCTCCAGCATTTTTTTTTTTAGTTGTTTCAATATTCAAGTTGTTGCATTCATTTTTTTCGCTTAGCAGGGTTGTCCTGAGATAAAAGAGAAATCCTCATGTTGCAAGCAGACCTTTAGGGAACAAGTGCATTAGAAACGAGACTGTTCTTGCAACACAATATTTCAGAAGTTATTAATTTCTGTTTTTAAAGTGGAAATTTATGGTGCATATTAAAAAAAAAGGGGGAGAACAGGCAGGATTGTTAATGCAGAAGAGATATGCTGTGTCTTTTCTGAATTAAAGTTAACTACATGCCTGTCTGCCCCTGTACAGTGAGCTGCGCATGCTCAGCTCACTGTAGAAATATGGCAATGTGAAAGCCGACTGCACTCTTGCGCATGCATGGGAGTGACATCATATTGGCCTGGCCAATAAAAGCAGCTGACGATCAATACCTGGAAGCCGGCTACTCAAAAACATCAGCCTCCAGTGGAGGGTTCCAGGACGCCGCAGCGCTGGAGCCAAGGTGAGTATAGTTCCCCTTTATTGTCAGTATAGTACACTGTATGCATTTATGTATATCATGTAAAATGTATATCATATAAATGTATATCAACGCAACAACAATAACGTAATACAAATCCTTAGATGTGGCTGCTGCATTAGTTTTCTTTTATCAGGTTTTTGTTCCTTTATTGTCACATGTTGATCCTTCCAGTAACACATTTCCCCTCCTATTTCCTATATCAATTTACTGCATCTAAAGAGAAGCAGCAATGTCATCGTAGGAAAGGAAGTGTCTTATGACTAGAGAACACCTCCCCCTCTCCAAAAACATGGTGGGTGGTGTTCTGTAGTCCACAGAGATTTCTAGGAATATTGTAACTGATAACAGTGCAGCAAGCCTGTACAGGACGTTATCAGCTGACAAGATTTCTGGCAGGATCAACAGGTACTTTTTTTTCACAAAACACTTTCAATGATATATTTAAAAGGCCCAGAGGGAGACAATAGGAGACGTTCATTGTCGTGGGTTACATACTCCTTAACTTGCATTAATCATAACTGAATGATACATCCAGGAAAGTGCATTTAAAGCTAATTAAATACAATCGTGTATATGGGACTTGCATTCATAGGCAGGAATAACAATTAGGAAACCAATTACATCCAAAGCCAGCTGTGATACAGAAAGCACTATATAAATGGAGTCTAGATGCCAATGCACCAGGAACTAGGCTTGTGGTAGAAAACAGCCTTATCTAAGCTAAGAAAAAAAAACCTGCAGACATGGATAAGCAGCAATTGTATGACCATTCTCTCTTCTGCTGGAGCTCTCCTTAATGTTTTTTTTTTCTTGGATGCAGATCTGCACAGTTTCACATACTAAGAACCTATTTAATTGGCCAAGAACATAGCCTGTCTCATATGTTAGTAAAGGTTCTGCTCTCACAAGGCCCCCACATAAAATTAATTATACTATTTATAAAAAATTGTTCTGACTGAAGAATCCACTGAACATATAAAAATAACAATATACAAAATATACAGCATCCATTCCAATTATAAATAGATCCTATGTACATGGTACACGTAAGAGGCCAGTCTTGCTGCCGTCCTTGACAGTTCTATGTCAGGAATAGCCAGGAACAGTATAGAAGGCACAGAAGGAGGCCAAGGCCTTGTGTGAAATGTCTCTGGGAGCCATTGAGAGGGGATGTGGTGGAGAAGATGGCGTCTGTCTCGTTCCTGGGCAGAGCAATGTTACAGATATTTCCTTCACAGCATGATGTGCATGCCTGCAAGAACAAAAGAGAAGGTTATATTATATTATTTTTTTCCCCTTAAATTTTTTTTGTACATGATGCGCAGGACTTAAAAATACAAATGTAAAAAACATTTTTTCTTTTTAAACTGGTGAATATGAAATGCTGTGTATGAAAATGATATAATCTTTTATCCAGCCAGAAGGTGGAGCTGTAGGCTCCTTTTGCATGTTTTCTTCTGTCTCTTTTACTCCTTGGTTGTAAATTGTCTGGTATTTGCAGAGCCCAGTAGCTCAGGCTGACATTTAAAAACACAAGAGAATGACTTTTCACAGAGACTCATCCTTTAATGGATGGCTCAGGAAGAGGTTTTAGTCAGGCAAAGACAGTATAAATATAATATATGGGATTGCAATCTGTGCATGGGTCTAAGCAGGGCTTTTTATCAGGGGGATGCAGTTCCGGCACCTCCAGCACTGAATCTATGTGTTGGGTGTGCTGGAGGGTCTATTGATGCTGGCTACTGGGGTATCTACTGTTGCTGGGGAAGGGGGTTTGTAGTGTAGCTGGAGGAATCCACTGTTGTAGGGAGTAGTCTTATGTTGCTGATGGGGGGGACCTACTGTTGCTGGTAAGGATCTATTGTTTCTGCAGTGGATCTAATAATACTCATAGGGGATCTATTGTTTCTGGGTGGGGGGATATTTTGTTGCTGGGGAGGTTCTATTGTTGCGGGCTGTAGGGACTCTATTTTGCTTCCTTTTTTGCTATCATTAATAAAGTTCATACAAAATTACTTAGCACCACAAAATGATAGTGGATTCTGTTTTCTCTAAAGGGGCGATACTGGGAGGTGGGTTAGGGGGCAAATACAAGAGACAATGCTCAGAGGTGGGTAGTCAGCAACTCAAAGACAAGTGGTGCACCTTTGAGAAAAAAATCCCTTGGTCTAAGGAATAAATTTGTAGCAGCCAACACTATACCACAATACAAGGTATAATACACATAATAAAAAACATTGTTATGAGAAAAATAGGTAGGCTGCCATTGCGGTCTTCTCCTTCTGACAATGCTAGCTGTCTAACCATTGTGCCAACCTTCCGCAAAATTACATTGAATGTTAATGATCACATTTTCTGTGAAAGTAAAAGCAGTTTTATACATACTTGTGAATTTTTAGTAGCTATTTCAAACCGCTCAGGGCATCCATGCAGCATTGAATCTACCGATGCCCCACTTCCAGGCAAAAAACTAGCTGTGGGGCTGGTAGACGATGCTGCATAGGAGTGATGAGCACACTCTATTGGACAGGGCATGGAAGCTCCCCGCGTGGGATGGGAGCCCCAGCTACAGCAGAAAACATCCATCCTGATGGTTCTTCTAAAATTGAAATTGAACTCCAAGCAGCAAAACACACTGATAAAAAGTGAATGCACCAGATGTGTTTTTCCTGCTAAAGGATTTGAATTTCCATCCATCCAGTCCTGAGATAGACACAGCCCCTCCACAGAGCACAGTAAGCCCCAGCGACCTGCATTTTCACTGCTGAAGTTAGAAGAATGCTGCTAGGTCACCTCCCGCCCCAGCACTAGATCTTGTAGGAGCACTGATGAGGTAATCTCTCTGATTTCTCCTCCTGTCAGCACTTTCCTTGTCACGTGAATGCAGGATACCCCTTCCTCTCTCAGTCTAAGTGCTGCTGTATAGGGGTTTACAATATAATGCAGCACTATTCATTCTGAATGATGCCCTAGCATGCCTAGGCAGTGCACCCCACGCACCCCGATGGGTCATGACTAAGGCCTGTGGGTAGGGCGAAATGCGTTGGAGCATGGCCTGGACGGAGCCAGGCTGAGGCTGTTAATACCTGAAGGACAGTCGTGTTTGTTTGGTGTACGGCGATCAGGACTTTTTTCTTCTCAAACTGATAAGAGGCATGGAGGAGCTCAGCTATGAGGAAAGATTAGAGAAACTGAATTTATTCTCTCTTGAGAAGAGGAGATTAAGGGGGGATATGATCACCAGGTATAATACATAAGGGGGGATATGATCACCAGGTATAATACATAAGGGGGGATATGATCAACATGTATAAATACATCAGTGGTTCATATAGTGAACTCGGTGTAGAGTTATTCACCCTGAGGTCATCACAGAGGACAAGGGGGCACTCTTTACGTCTGGAGGAAAAGAAATTTAATCTCCAAATACGGAAAGGTTTCTTCACAGTAAGAGCTGTGAAAATATGGAATAGACTCCCTCAAGAGTTGGTTCTGGCCAGCTCAGTGGATTGCTTTAAAAAAGGCCTGGATTGTTTCCTAGATAACACAGAATATAACTGGATACTAACATTTATAGGTAAAGTTGATCCAGGGAATATCCAATTGCCTTTCGGGGGATCAGGAGGGAATTTTATCCCCTGCAGGAGCAAATTGGATCATGCTTGGTTTTTTGCCTTCCTCTGGATCAGTTGTGGGTATAAGATTATAACTTTTTTTTTTTTTTGGCCAAACTGGATGGACTTTTTGTCTTTCTTCAGCTAGACTATGTAACTATGTTTTTCTATACCTACAGTCAATGGAAAATGAAATATATTGCTTTAAAGGTGTACCTTGTGGCCATGCTTCCCACTGTCTCTGCATCCCGTGTTCAGGCAATGCTCCAGTGACGCGCAGCGTTTTGTCACTGACAAACTTTCCCCCAGAGCATTCATGATATGGTGAGAGTGACAATATCGCGTATCTGGTGACAAAACATTTAAAATACAAATATTAAAGGTCTGCACTGAATTTGTACAATAGTTAAAAATGCATATATTCAGATATTTATCCCATGCAAATTGCTGTTGGTCAAAACTTACACCAAGCCCCGGTTCACATCTGTGTGGTGCACTTTAGGTGTGTTGCATTTTAGGTACATTACTATTTAACTATAAATTGTACGTTTTAAAGAAAGTTCATCAAAGATGCAGCAAGCAGGGGACTTTTTAACATAAAACGCACATAGAATGCACAGGCGTGAACAGAGAATAATGTTATTTTCAGGGCACACAAACACAACTCCAAAATACCTAATAAATAATTCAGGGCATTTAGAGTACATAAATACATCTAGGTGTCTATATTATGCTCTATCATTGCAAGCACAATGGGTCCATTTATAAAGGTTTTTATATATTCACACAGCTTGTACCCAAAATTCACACATTTTTTCTAAATTGGATCCACTTGATAAAAATGTGAATCCTGGGTGAAAGTTGTGTGAAAAAAGGATATACATATACCCAGGACTTTTTTTCTCAAAAAATGGGTGCAAGAACGACCCCCTTCTGAGTCACCCCTTGTTTCTACCCCCGTACCCACCTCCGAGCACCGTCCCTTGGTACCTACTTCTACATACCTCCCTGTACTGCTCATTTTAGAAAATAAAGAGCAAAGTATCATTTTGTATGGAATTTGTCAATGAGTACAAGAAAAGCAGTAAAATCAATCCCCTGCAGCCAGCAAGAGTAGGATTCTCCCAGCAACATTGGACCCCCGCAACAAAATACCACCCCAACAACAACAGGGCCCCAGGAGCAACAGATCTTCCCTCAATATTAGATCCCTTCCAGCAACAATTGACCACCATTAAAAATAGATCCCCTCCAGTTACAATAGATCCCCCAGCAGCCAGCATCAATAGACCCTCCAGCACCCCTTGCCATTACATACATTCAGTGCTGGGCGTGCTGGATTTTCCAGAGCTGCGTTCCCGTGTTCCCACTGGCAAAAAGCCCTGCATATACAAAGCTGTCCACCATACCGCCCCGAACTACATCACTGACCTAATATCCAAGTACCGCCCAGCACGCACACTCCGCTCCTCACAAGACCTCCTTCTCTCTAGTTCCCTGGTCTCCTCCTCCCATGCCCCCGCCTCCAGGACTTCTCCAGGGTGTCACCCATCATCTGGAACTCCCTGCCCCAACCCATCAGATTATCACCTACTCTCCTCTCCTTTAGGCGCACCCTGAAAACCCATCTCTTCAGGAAAGCCTACCCCACCCCCTGCTAACTTGCCGACCTCCTCCACTCTTCCTACCACTCCATCCCCCACAGCTATCTCCTCCTGTACCACTATCCCCTCCCTCCTAGATTGTAAGCTCGAAAGAGCAGGGCCCTCAATCCCCTCATGTTTTGCATTGTATTGGTATTGTTCTGTCACATGTTCTGTCCCTCTTTGTAATGTACAGCGCTGAGCGAACTATTGGCACTTTATAAATACTGTATAAATAATAATAATAATAATATACCCCTTCATAATTTGGTTCTATATTTTTCTTGTCATTTCTTTTAGCCTGGAGTTTTTCTTTAACATCACATCACATTTGTATATAGTAAGGCATGAGTATGTGTAATCCTGCGAGGATTATTATCATAGCCAGGAAACTTCTCTGGGGAGTTCATGCCTAACCCCCCAAACAAATCTCCATTTCACTATTGCTCAGCGATCTCAACACACCCCGAAAGAAAACAACAGAAGCTTTCTACAAACTAACATACCGCCGGCAGAGGTTCAGTTATTACAAGCTGTCGGACCCATCTCTCATCTCCGCTCCACCTACACAAAGGCAGCGCTCATACAGAAACAGTTATTGAGTAAGGAAAGAATAACAAGATTGTCAGAATTCTGGCAAACTACAAACTCGATAAGTGATTAGCAAGACAAGGATGAATATTTTCTCTGAAATGAAATATATGATGTAACTCATTGAACAAAATATGTTTGTAGTGAATGACCTCACTGATGGAGAGCTAAGGGACACAGCTGGTTTTTGGACCCACCTTCAGGGCCATGTAACCTTTATTTAGGAATACGTCTTCAAACGCTGAAGTGCAACAACTGAGCCAAGCACAAATTTCAAGATATTGAACAATTTTATCACAAATAAGGGTGGATACTCTACAGCTGCCTCTCTCAACCGGGGTGCCGTGGGACCCTGGGGTGCTGTCTGAGGTCGTCAGGGGTGCTCCCTGAGGTCGTCAGGGGTGCCGTGGAATCCTGATAGAGAATGGCATTCAGATCCGACTGACCTATCACTGCTCTGCCAAAGTGTAGATTAGCATAACGTGCGCTCGATCAGGGCAGGCAGAAGGGGCAGCTCCGCCAGTGGGAAGGGTCTTGCACCAACCAGGAAGAGATTGAACCCCGTTGGCAATGGCGGAGGAGGCATCTGGCATTGCGAAGTCCGGGCAGATTAGATGCTGGACACGTGGTACAATTTGAGTGAGGGGCGGAGTTCCTGGCCGCCTGTAATGAAAGATCTGCTGGAGGTGGGGGACATGTAGAGAGAAAAGTCAGAAAAGTGATCAATGACAGCACCAGTACCAACTCAGATGGCATCAGTGGTCTGCACCAGGTGAGGATGACAAGACTGCACCACCCAAAGGTGACAGGCAGGGACAGTGCCCAAGACAGCCTGCTCTGTACTCTGTTATATGGAGGCTGCCTTTGATTGACTTCAGTACAACCAGCCTAGCGATAGATGGATTGAAATTCATCAGATTCCCGCTAAACCGGCAGAATTTCGATCCATCTATGGCCACCTAATGTGACAGCAAGGACATTTTAGAAAGACAATTGTGCTCTTCCAACCTTGCACTAACAGTTTGGGAAAGGCACTTTTTTGTTTCAGCAGGACTATATATAAAGACATGGTTTGGGGAGTATGGTGTGAAGGAAAACAGAACAGTGAGCAGCACAATAGTTGTATTACTAAATGCTGAGTCTAGCAGTCTCAAGCCAGCAGTGCCTTAGATGTAATATGAAGATATACAGTTATGAGGCTATAGGCACAAAAATGCCTAGGCACACTTATATACTAGGAAGACCCCTGCCATTTTTTTTTTCTTTTAGGAGGTATTCCAGATAAAAAGGTAAATCTTTTAGGCTTAAGCCAACCATAGATAGTACGGGATTTAAACCATCTATGGGCAGGCTGATTGTACCCAAGTCATTTGTTGTATGACTTGTACCCAAGTCAATTGTTGTATGACTTGTACCCAAGTCAATTGTTGTATGACTTGGGAACAACAAGCATGTTAAATTGTTCATGTGATTATTGCTAGCAGCTAATATAGCCGCTAGCAGTAATCACAGTTTTCCTCCAGCTGCGGGGAGAATGCAATAGCTCTGCAGGAGGGATGCCCCTATCAACACCGACAGTGTTTATGGGGGAACCGAGCAATCTTCTTTCCTGTAACATATGGTTGCAAGAAAGAAAATCTCACCTTCTATGGCCTGATTTGGACACCATTACGGAGTCAGATAGATACCCCTGATGGACTCTGATAAAAACCAGAGCCAATCAGCAGGTACACTGTGTCCCCAGAATAAATGGATTCACAGTCTGCAAAACTGGGTTATTCCATGAATGGTTTCATCCTCCCTGTCCTACTTTTCCCGCCCGCTTCTTCCTGGTCTTCTAATGCCCTGTGAAACTTATCTACATGAAAACATCTGAGCAACATCATAAACTACAACTCTAATCCCCTGTGAAGGGACAGCTATTGTACACTGATTAATTGCTGAGTGTGGTTTCCAGACATACTATATCATGGGCAGTGGACACGGATGTTTGGTAAATACACCCTGACAATAGAAAGGGCCTCTTTCCACCTGGGAGTAAAGACATCTGTGAGGGAATGCTGAAATATCTCTTTCTCCCTAGCTGGAGACCAGGTGAGGTGATGACGGATGCGCAACAGGTAAAGCATAAATCACAGGGGATGTCAGCCATACAGAAGAGATTACCTCTAACGGCATTTCACTGAAGGTAATGTCTTTAAATTCCGATTATCAAGAGTAAAGTAGCTGCTTTGGCAATCTAATTGCTCTCCACGATGTAGAAATGTTAATAAGTGGACCTCATGTATATGATTGAACAATTTGTGTGTAAACTAAAACCGGCCATAGATGAGTTGAAAACCGAACAAAATTTGTGTCGATCAGCAAATCATTTGCTTTTCACATGATTAGTGTGCCAGCTGCGACACAAGGTTTTCGTGCCGCAATCATAAATGCCTGATACAACATGCTGGGGGCTTTTGGGGTTTTTTTTAACTTATTTTCAATGTTTGATCGACAGAATGTTTGGTTTTCAAATAATATTTGGTCGGCTTAAGTCAAGAGGCACTGTATACCTTCTATGAAATTCTGAATTCTGAATAGAAGCTGATTGGCTACCATGCACGGCTGCCCCAGAATAAATCTACCTCTATATTTCATCGACCAGGCTGTAATATGGTCTTACATATGTTCAGTCCCACTTACATGTACACTATATTGCCAAACATATTAGGACATCCCTCCAAATCACTGCATTCAGCTGTTCCAATCACCTCCATGGCCAAAGGTGTATAAAATCAAGCACCTAGGCATACAGATTGCTTCTACAAACATATGCAAAAAAATGGGTCGCTCTCATGAGCTCAGTGAATTCAAGTGTGGTCCGCTGTGCAATAAGTCCAGCCGTGAAATTTCCTTGCTACTAAATATTCCACGGTCAACTGTTAGTGGTATTATAACAAAGTAGAAGCAACTGAGAACAACAGGCCACGTAAAAGGACAGAGCGGGGTCAGCGCATGCTGAAGCGCACAGTGAGCAGAAGTCGCCAACTGTCTGCACAGTCAATAGCTAAAGACCTCCAAACTTCATGTGGCCCTCAGATTATCACAACAACAGTGCGTAGAGAGCTTCA